TCGATGAACTTCATAGGGGATTTGTATGCAAACCAAATTATAGTACTCCAAATTATATATGTGTACTATGGATGTGTTTTCTTTATCCACCGAATAAAAGCTACATCTACTTCATAATTTTTTAAACATGACTCGCCTTGTGAAATAAGAAGAATATATATATGGGAGCGCATGACAAAACCGAAGAGAGCAGGTGGTATTGGATTTAGAGATATGCACCTCTTCAATCAGGCTCTACTTGCAAAACAAGGGTGGAAGTTGATTCAAAACACAGAGAGCCTGTGTGCGAGGGTGTTAAAGTCAAAGTATTACCCTAATGGAAACCTCATGGACACCGTTTTTTGCGACAGATGCGTCACCGGTGTGGAGAGGCGTTGAGTTCGGACTTCAGCTACTGAAAAGAGGGATAATATGGAGGGTGGGCGATGGAAAAACATTCAAATTCAGCGAGACCAATGGCTACCAAGAAGGGAAGGGCTCATGACAGTGGCGTTCATCCGGTGATCAGGGCTCCGATGGGTGAACCAACTCATGATTCCTGAGAGGAAGGAGTGGAATGGAAGTCTAATCAGACAGATATTCTACCCGTTCGATGCCGATGTGATCTACAAGATCCCTATCCCGAGCTCCGATGCTGAGGATCGACTAGCGTGGCACTACAAAAATAATGGAGTCTTTTCAATAAAGAGTGCCTAGAAGCTTGGAGCAAGTCTTGCCCAACCAAGCTATAACCCGCCCAATTCAGCAAGAGAAGCCAATGACCGCAGCATTTGGGACCTAATATGAAAAGCTAATGTTGCCAGAAAGATTCGGATATTCGGCTGGAGAGTGGCAACTAAAACACTAGCCACTAAGGAAAATAAGTTTAAACGAACCCTCAAAACGGATGCAACCTGCAGTATTTGTGGTCAAGACTAAGAGAATGAGTACCATGCTGTCGCCAAGTGCACGAAGAGCAGAGGACTCAGGTCGGCAATGCGTGAAGTTTGGTACGTGAAGCCATGCAATAATGCCCTGGCTCACGAGCTAGCTGCTCTGAACAGAAGAGATGGAGATCAAGTGCTCATTAGCGATGTACCAACTTGCCTATGAACTTTGATGCTGTCCGAGTATAATAGGCCTTCTGAGTAGCTCTGCTACTCTAGATCTAAAAAACACTCCACCAGCCATGGAGAACATGAGTCATGCGTTTACAAAGCTAAATTTGTGCATGTATGTATATAGCTTTGAGTTTGAGCTTGTGCCAACTATATATTGTTTGATTTGATTGAACAACAAATTAATTAGCATTGGTTAGAAAAAACAGTGTTTCATTTGATTGAATACAAATTAATTAGAATTGATTGACAAAGACATAGCATCGATTATAACATTCGCATTTTGCGCACATAGCAATTCGATCTGTTGTCAATGTCATCCAGCATTTGCGTCTGGTCATTGCATCCAAGTACATTAATTGGTTGGACTGCTTGCAGGCTCGACCACTTGTGCTCTTCACTGTCATGGACGCACGAACCATATGGACATCTGTTTGATGAGTTTTTGTCACTTATTTATCTAGCCCACATTTCATATGGAAAATATAAATAATAATGTGAAGCACTAGTGTGTGCATTTAAGAGTACAAAGGAATGTGCTGGTACATGCATAATCTTTATGGTTTAATTAAGTGGGCTTGAGAGGCTACAGCCCATGTCCTAGTCTATGCATGCCATGCCATGACTGAAGTAGATAGTATTGCTAAATAGCACGTTTATCAATGGAAAGAGTCAACACGTAGCCAGCCACGTACATGGAAGCAGCGCGCATGTAACGTACGTGTGGCCGAACCGCCTGGTCGGTGTTAGCCTATGAGTTTTTATAACAATGCATAGTTATCTAGTAGATAGATTGCTACGGGCTGCTCAGCATGCACGCAGGATAAGCGAGCCGCTGAGCAAGAATCGAACTCTGGCCAACAGCTTACGGCGGCACACTACTGATTTCTCTCGCTAATCCTGCTGCCCTAGTGCTCCCTATAAAAGGCTCATCTCCTCCCATGTACAGGGGGGAGAGGACGCACACACGGGCTGCTCGCGGCCTGGCTGCTCGCATGCATGGAGCCCTGAACATGTACATCTCGCATAGTCCCTGATGATAAAGCCCCACTACTTCCGCCCTGCTACTCCACCAAAATCCCATAGTATACCTCGCCTGGCTGGCGGCCGCATCGACACGGCAACGTTCTCTTATGGTAAGAAATGGTGAGATCTGATGTCCCTTTTTCTCACAGCTGGTCGCCTCATATTAGAAGATCGGTTTACACCGAATCCTTTTGTTGCCCCGGATTATTTTAGATTGGTTTACCAATCCAGTTGCGGCATGTGGTAAATGTTTGATAGGCAGATCAACTAGTGCATGACTTGGATTCGGATCGCTCCCATAGCAGATCGTTTCCGTATAAAAAAATATATTTGGTGGCAAGTTGCTGGTGCCGGATTTTGGATTCGAATCACTCTCATAGTCGATCGTTTTCGTACAGAAATATTTGAGAAGAAAATCAAATAGTGCTTGGCTTGGATTCGGATCGCTCTCATCTAGCATATCGTATCCGTAGAGAAATATTTATGGAGGAGTTTAGTTGGTGCCTAACTTGGATTCAGATCATTGCCATGGTTGCCAAGCAGAAATATTTGAGAGGCAGATCACTCATATAGTTGATCTCTTCCATGCATAATATGTGAGGAGTGAACTAGAATGTTCAACTTGGATTCGGATCACTCTAGGAGCAGATCGTTCCTATGCATAATTTTAGAGTTGATTGCGCTACAATTGGAACAGTCATTTAGCCTGATCGTGGAGAGTTTGGGCTTGAAAGTATTTAGTGTCGTGACAGATCCAGGCCTTTATATTTATATAAAAGACTCAGCTCAAGTGGACTCGCAAAGGCGCACCATTTTATTGTATGATGAGAAGGCAGTACGACATATTGCAATATTATTTGTCACGGGCTAATTAGCTTAGCCCGTGCTGGACATTAAATATCCAGATCCAAATATCTTTCGTGATTTTCTGAACAACATGGTTACTCAATATGATGACATGCCTAGCATGTAAATCTTGATATTTCATTGACGGCCCTCACGGCTAGGTGTCCATAACGAAGTCTCATGACATGATTTCTTTTCCGCGACTGACGAGGCCGGAACAACTCATTAGTCTAGGCTCTGGGAACCTGAAGCTACACAGTCGCTAAACTTAGTCAGATTGCATAGAGAAACATGATATACTTGTGTGGGAACCATTTGATGTAATTCTCAAAAGAATTAATCAAATACAGAGTTCCCTGATCTTGTGTGTCTCTTTTATTTGTATACTATTGTATGCTGGCACGCCCGCACTTTATTTTATCGCGTTACGCATTAGGAAATACCCTTTTCCGGGGGACGTTTCTTTTTCGCGAAACAACATCGTAATGATGCAGCACCACCTTTACTTTCTTTGCCTCTTGAGAGCACAACTTACGTGGATAATGTGATTCACCATCTATCTTTTTCAGAGTAAGCATTCCGGCCAAAAATAGCATTGGTTTAAGCAGACTGCCTCCCTCTGGGTTTATTAGACCCCCTTGTATTTAACGTTAAATTTTGACTATAAAGTTAACTGATAAAATATTTAAAAAATGCTACAAAAATTATATGGTATGAATCCTCTTTCATATAAATCATATGCTATTAGTAATGGATGGTTAAAATTTAAACCAAAATATGAGGGAGCCTAATTCGGACGGAGGAAGTACTATCAGTAGTTCATAAAGTAGGTGAGGCTATTTTTATTTATTTTTGCATTGAAGGATGTTAAACTTAATTGACACAGAAGTTTAACATTTGGTGAATAAAATTGACTAATTAAATTACTTGAGAGGTTGAGATTTCGTGCTGGAAGAACATATATTATCCAACTAGATCCGATGATTAACCAACTTGACGAACATGAAAAGAAACATGGACTCGATCGTGAATTGATATGGAGCACAACCTATCTAAAGCATTATCCAGGCAGCATGTATGCAAGCTTACTTAAAGTTCACGTGAGCCTTGGGCACTTGCTCGAAGTCCAGATCCATCAGCAAGTTCATCACCACTACCGCCTCCTGCTTGTTGCGAATGATGGACTGGATCTCTAGCATCTTGGTGAAGGGCCCGTACCACTTGCCTGTGCGGTTGGAATGGAGGATCTCATAGGACATGGTATCCCAGTGCTCGATGTAGGGCCGGTGCTCGGGGGCGACGCGGGACTCGCTGGCCCATCCTCTTCTGACGGTATCTTTAATTACATACTAGCACAATGACATAACGAGTCTCTAGAGATATCTATTACTCCACCACATATGCTAAAACTCGAAATGTATGCTCCTCCCGATCTTGATGGGGCTGAATTTTAACGGCCAAATTTACCAGATTATGTGCTATGTGTGCTCATGCTACAAGATCAAACATCGACTAATATCAGCATGTCTCGGATGTTAGCTTAATCCAAAGAAATTTGAGTTATGTTAGGAGTATGCTAGTTAACTAGGCTAGTGTAGCCGTGGGTGCTAGCGTGTTTAGTTAGGATTAGTATAAGTGTGATCAAGGTTGCCGGATAATTAGTAGTACTAGTAATATAGAAAAGTATAGACAAATCGGTTTAGAGTTTCCTTATGTTAGCGTGAGTTCTATTTGGACTAGGTAGCTTGTCCGTATAGGAGTTGGGTTCACGATGGTCATGGTTGTGTATATATACACAGCCAGGTGCGTGAGTTTATTATAACTGTGAGCACAGAGAAAACCAGAATATAAAAATAAAGAGGAAAACAAAAGGCACAATACGGGCCCTTGGCTATTAGTTTTGTGTGCGCGTGTTTATCGTGTTATTTGATGTGTGATCAAACATATAAAATAAACAAGATCCCTAATATTAAAAATGAAAGAAACGGAGTGCCAAAAAATAAGCAAAGTTCGCCCTCCAGCACTCCAGGCCTACATCATGAAGAATAATGGGAAGACAAGTAGGATCTGAAAGCCACCAAAGGATCGCGTAGTATGGGCCGCATTTCCAATATTTTCTGATCCTGCAAATTCACCAAACAACAGAGCTTCGATATAAATCTAAATAGCTATTATGAGAATATATTGGCGAAGAAAATAATGCATCTTTCTAACCTGGTTTTCGGGGGTCGCAGCTGGTGGTAGGCATCTGGCACTGGCGGAACATCTCCAGGCCGTCGACGGTGTTGTTGACCCCCCACTTCTTTGCGAACTTCTGGGCCTCACCGACGGCGTTGCAGATGCACTCCGGGTCGCTCTTGAAGAGCTTCTTGACCGCGACGCAGCACGGCGCCAGCTTGGAGGGGTCCCCGTAGACTACCCCGCACACGGTTATACTGTTCAGGCACGGCGGCGTGGCCGGGATGTCGGCCGGCGACGGGAGTGGCGGGAGGACTATCTGGTCCGGGATCGGCGGCGTCGTCTCCACTTCACTAGTTGCCATGGCCGCGGCGGCGAAGAGGAGCACCAGGACTAATCGGCGGACGTGGTGCCCCATGATCGATCTTGATTAGCTGCGTCGACTATGGTGAGGTACAGAGGTGTGATGAGGAAAGGGGTCTCCGGCTTGGATGTCTTATAGGCATGTGTTCACCAACGTAATGAGCTGGAGCGTACGTGCTGCCCATGTTCCATGGGCGTACTAGTCTGTCACTGTGTTTATTCTCATTCGATTACGTTGTTTATTTTATTTTTCAATCCACGAGATGTTGACTCTCATGTCATGCAGTCATGCTGATCATAACAGATCCTTTCTCTCCATGAAACACGGAGATTAGGAGAAGACAGGCATGCAGTAAGAGTTTTTGCATAGCTGGCAGTTAGAATGATATGATTCAGGGTGGGTCTGGAGTTTTTATTTAGCATACAACTCAGAATGATATGATGGTGCATGTTTGTGCCGCCCACGACGTGGCCGCGTAAGACGCAGCATATGCATGATCTCAACGGGACTAACGGACGTGCGTGCCACATGGTCACGGATCCGGCTTGCCTGCTCCCTCCTCACGCTCTCATCCTAGTTCGCACTTCATTCTACGACTGTCTTTTTCTTTTTTTTCTTTCTAATCTAATTATCTCCCCCCTGATTTTAAGGGGTGGGGTCGGGCCTTATTTTGTTTCAATCAAATCATGTCACGTATGCGGGAGCACGGATGGAAGCACGCTGGGGGAGCAGGCAAGTCTCGTCCACATGATCACACCGAATAACGCGCTAGAATGATGGTCAGCACATTTGTTTTCTGATAAGCCTGTTCATAAGCGAGATATAAGTGCTGACCGCGTCCATGATCAATAATTCTGGTCTGTCACTGATACTAATTAATCACGTCCGGTTAGATGTTTTCTTAGTGAAGATCTGCATACATTGCCATGACAGAGGCCATAGGGTTACATGAAAACATATATTGCCCTTTGCTTCTCAGTGCGCCTAGAGTTTTACATCCACCACTCGGCTTATATCCCTCTAAGCCATGCATGTGGCGACGCAATGGCGCAAATTTAATAGCAGTGCTCGGTGTACCACCATGTACGCCGTGACATGATTCGAAAAACACTCCACGTATTTAAGAACTCCACGTGTAGGGTAAATGCCGAGTGTCGTCGTGGCCCGCACGGTGAAAAGCCTAGCCAAGCCCTAGGTTACAGAACCGTGATGGTGGTTCTTACAGCCAAGTACTGCCTAAGGGCATCTTCAATGGTTGTAAGATAGTTATTGGTAGACTTTAACACATAAGATATTTGATGATGTGTCATATAATAAATGAGGAAAGAGACTAAGGATGTATGTACATGAACCAACACCCCTTGCAGAAGCTGCAATGTAGAATGAAAGAGCATGCTATTTATTATCTCACATTCTATTCAGCAAATTAGATACAATCTATTGGAGTATTTCTATATTAAAGTGTTGATTGATGACATGGCATATTTTATCAAGAAGCTAACAAACAAATTTTTGAAGATGCCGTAATGGAACTCCCGACACATACAATAGATTAAAAAAAAACCCAAAAAAGTTTTGTCGACTATAAGCTGAGTCTCTGACAAAATGCACGCGGCTTACCGCCCAACCAGCCGAACTATCATTTTGTTTCCGTACTACTGCTAGCTAGCTATATGCATCGATGCAATGCTTCGTATGATGCAACTAATGCTTTTCATATATACTACATCTGTAGTAGCTAGCTTTCCTGTAAAAAATAATCAATTTTTTTATGCTTGGAGTTGAGTTGTTTGGTTTCGTATTTGCTAGATAGAACTATTGAGAGCTGTGAGTACCAAATAGTAGACCTTCTCCAAGTTTGGTTTGTTGAAATATATTGCCCACCTTTCTCTATCAGTTCGGATTTTTGGATAAGTTGGCTGGTGCATGAATTCAATATGGTATCCGAACCAAGAGGTCTTCAGTTCAAGGCCCTGCCAACGCAGTATTAAATAAAACGATTCTGTGGCCTACATCAATCCCACGTCTAAGGACTAAAATAGCCTAGACGTGAGGGGGAGTGTTAAAATATATTGCCCACCTCCCTCCATCAGTTCGGACTTTTGGATGAGTTGGCTGATGCATGAATTCAATATGATCTAGTTGAATAATGACTTGTTAATATTTTTTGACTATTTTCTACTCTTTGTATAGCGCATCAGAACAACAACCGCTGTCGATGAAGAGAAATCTTGATCAAAAGGATCCAATCTGAAAACACATAAACACAGACGAATGAAGACTGGATCCAAGTGGATCCACTGAAGATAACCGCTGCGCCGTTGATGAAGAGAAATGTACAACAGAAGAATCCAATCTAAAGATACATGAACACATACGAACGAAGACTGGATTCAAGTGGATCCAGTGAAGACAAACGCCGATCGAATTCTGGAGCAAAATTAACACAGTATAATTAAAGTCGCTCATAGATGCAGGATTTGAATCAGATGGATGATAGCGACGAGATGCAGGAGTGCTGGGTGCACGAACATAGGCAGATTCACAGGATACGACGTGGAGAAGCTACGGCAAAGACAGCGCTAATTTCTTAGTGTCGTTCGAGTCACATGTTGTACACGAGGGATAAGAGGAGTATCACTAATCTATCAATGTGCTAGTTCCATCGGGCCAGGTATGCGGGAAGGATCACAGTAAGTAAAAATTGGCACAAGAGAAACAAGGTATTTTTGCATGATTGGCATAAATTTCCCTGGAAATTAAATTATAATTTCTGTAATTAAAAATGGCATGTAATCAAGTAGACAGAGAAAAGAAGGCGTATTATCAATAATGCCCTATGTAATAAGATGCATGTGATTAAATCCTCCAGACCGTGTAATCAATGAGAATAAATTGAGTACCCGTTGTACAAGAACCCAAAAAAGCACACACTAGATCTCACTATAAATAGTAGCAATGACATTATGGTACAACAACATCCATCCATTCTCATCTTTACCAGTCTGCTACAATGGCCACTCGCTCTGCCTCCTCCTCATAGTGGCCTCGTCCATCGATGTGGAGCCCCCTGTAGATTTCCCCCTACCTCCAAAAGCCAACTGCTACAGGTCTGTGACAGAGACGCCGAAAATGTGCGCGGGGCAGGTCCTCCAGGCTCTTCTCTACGGCGAGGTGCACATCACCAAGGACTGCTGCGAGGTGCTCCGCAGGGTTGGCGATGAAACCTGCATCATCAACTACATGTGTGCCTTCATCGGCTAGCTAGTTCTCAAGATTTTATCCAACTTCACTGGAAGATATTACATGATTTATGTACAACCCAGCTTTTTAAATAAATATTATAACGGAGTGTGCTGGTTTTGGATTATATAAAGAGTAACTCATCATTGTGGCCTTAGCATACTCATCTCTACTCCTAATGGAGCAGTTGGTAGTCTCCGCCGGTCAATTTTCGTCCCATCAGAGAAGGGTTTTTTCGTCCGTTTTTTTCGCCATTTTTTTCATCACATCCCCACCCCACCTCACCCCACCCCACGCACGCACCCCAAGAAAACCATCCCGCAGGAGGAGTTCCTCTCGATCCCCTCCCGTCGCCGCCGCCGTCCTCTCGATCCCCTCGAGTAAGTGGCGCCGCCGTTGGCTCCCGATCTCCTCAATTAAATGTCGCCGCCGTCGTCTCTCGATGCCCTCGAGATCGCTGCACCGCCATCGTCTCTCCATCCCCTTGAGATCCCAGATCCCACACTGCCACCACCGGCGCCTCCTCCGCTGGAGATGCGGCGAATGAGAGACAAGGGGAACGATGGTCTCCACCGCGGTGGAGGGCGACGACCCGTGCTGGAGGAGGAACATCATGGGTGCGTATTTTTCTCGTCTGCAGCAGCAGCCTCACTAAGGTGACATACCACGCAAATCGAGCGTATCCTTTCCTCTCCTGGTCTCCCCATTCCTTGCCTCCCATTACAACAGCGAGCATGAATGTGAGCAGGGGCTGATTTTCATCTTGATTAGTTGCTTTTTCTAGATTATACAAGATGGTCGCGATTTGTTTTGTCAAATTACTTGGATCGTCTTAGGGAATGGACAGCCATCGTATTTTTCATTTCATATTATTTCTTAATCCTTGTCCCACTAGGCATCCACTGCATGTTTGGTAATGGCATGATGTTGAGGCGGCTAGGAGAAGCTCAGTAGCCAGATCAAGGGCTATCAACATGGATCTTGGAGCCAAGTACAAGCATAAGCTTATTCAAAATTTGCAGTTCAAGCATAAGCTTATTCAAAATTTGCAGTTATTGACTACATGGGACATATATTTTGTAATCTTTTTCATTTCTTCTAAGAGGATCAAATATGTATTTTGTTCTTCCCAATGTTCTGAAGGACGATGTTGGCATTGATATAGTATAACATACATTTACAATTATGAGTGCTCTCGACACTTGGTTCAAGACTTCTTGAGGAAAGATTAGTTCGTGAACTTTGCATCTTTAGCTCTTCAATTAAAACCATCAATGATTAGCGAGATCAACATTTATCAAGAAGAGTCTGGAAATGCCGAGTGGACGAGAAGCAATGCTATACGTCCGTGGGCGTGTCCCGGACAATGAAAGGTGGGGTGTAGTGGAGGTGGTTGGATCAATGGATGAAGAAAGAGGGAAAACATTTGGAGGAAGAACAGCGGCAAGCGAGTTTGACTAAAACATAAATTTCTTTTTAGTTCGCTTAGGCACTCCTTTCGAATTACCATGCATTGGGACCATACTAATACATTTTATTTGTATTATCAGTATATTCGAGATAACATTATTTTACAAAATTGGAGAGATTTGTCTGGCTCCTTTTTTATGCTCACGTGGAATGGTAACGAATTAGTAAACCCAATTTGTACGACGAGTATTCTCTGTTATACATTTTAAGACCTTCGACGGGAATTATTCATGCCAACTGCATATATTGCTTGTGCATGACATGTATGAGTTGAGGAAGACGTTTTTATTATACTTGCTCAAATATCGTGCCAATGAATAAAGTCAACATTTCTGATATTGTGCAAGAATTTCTTAAGAGCATCAAATAGATCTTAATTTGTAACCGTTTTTTAATTGGATCATCATTCTATATTGTACTCATTGTCAAATTGCTACGTTGCAAGGGAAGTGGTTTAAATTCTTATACAATTGTGGTCGTACTATCTTTTCTCTACATGTGAAATTGTACATAATAATTGTTTACATAACTCCCTAAAATATTTGAAAAGCCCATGGCAACGCACGGGCATTCTACTAGTTGAATTGAACTTCTTAATTGCTAAGCTAAATATTTCAGAAAAGAGATGAAGCTGGGCCTGGTTTTTGGGCTTAACACGAACGTAGTTTTGATGTTGGGCCTCTCGCAATTATAATGACTGTGGTCCGACGAAGTTTGCAATTGCATGTAGGTTTCCTGCAAGTAGTACGAAAACAGTTTGGACCAAACTCTGCGGCACCGGCGCCGCCTTTATAGTTCAAGCGAACCCTGAGTCCCTGACCAATCTATCGAACAACGCGTACATGCGATCGATCGATCCATGGAGATACCGGACGTGGTGCTCGCCGACGTTCTCCTACGCGTGCTCCAACCGCAGCACCTCGCCGCGTGCAGACGCGTATGCGCCAACTGGCGCCGTGTCATCGACGGCCACAAGCTGCTTCTCCCGCACCTCCTGCCGGCGGCTCCGCGCGGCATATTCATCAACTACACAGCCAGAGACGGGTGGAGCGACGTCGGCTACTTCTCCCGGGGGATCCTCGACGGTACCATCGACACACGTCTCGGCTTTGCGCCGCTGTGGAACGCGGTCATCGACCATTGCAACGGCCTGCTGCTGTGCACGTCTGAAGAAACATGCTTCGTCTACAACCCGGTGACTTGGCGATCGGCGCAGCTGCGAGCTCCCCCCGGCGCCCAAGGGGCCAACTGGGGAATCGGCTCCGCTGCCTACCTCGTGTTTGATCCTGCCGTGTCTCTCCACTTCCAGGTGTTCCTACTCCCTGACCAGCTGCCCGAGATGCCCGAGCCCCCTGTACCTGTCAAGTCGTCACCACCGCCGTTCAATGTGGGAAGGCTCTTCATGGCCGGAGCTGCAGATGGCGATTTGTGGCCCGAGGTCGACACCGACGACGACGACGGAGAGGATTGGTTTATGGATTCACAAGAGGATGAAACACGTCCGCATTATCATTCGAGCGAGCATTCTGAGGTGAGGGACGCAATGGGCCTGATGGAATGGCCACCGCTGGTATACGTGGTGCAGGTCTTCTCATCTGTCACCGGACAGTGGTCGGAGAGGACTTTTGTACGGAAAAGTGACCCAGCAGGGACGGTGGCAGACATGTGGCCGGATTCCTCGTCAATCATTTTGGATTGGTCACCTGCCACGGATTGGTCACCTCGTGCGCAAAGTAATTGGAGACCTCGCCGAAGATACACCGTTTATTGGCAGCAATTTCTTTACATCCAATGCCGTGCTGGTTTCATCATGAGGTACTACTTGGTCCAATCATGTTTGTTACAATCTGGTGATTAATATGGCTTTAGAAGGATATTTTTTTTCTCTCTCAAATAAATTATGTTACTATACATTTCAGATTCTCAGTTATGACGGAGGAGTATCAAGTGATCCAATCCCCAAGAATTGTTAGCCCGTACAACTGGTGGGAAAAACCGATAACGTATCTAGGCAAGTCAAAGAAAGGGGTGTACTACACCGCAACCGACTACCTCAAACTCCGAGTATGGCTATTGACAGAAGAAACAGAGGCATCTCGTGGGGCACTGCCGGTGTGGGCGATGATTCACAATGCTGACCTCGAGCCTCCGTTGAGCCAACTCTCGCATGAAAATTGTGAAGAGAAGGACAAGTCGTGGATCTTGGATCATGAAAAGGCTGTACAAACAGAACAAGGATACCGAGAGTGGGACTCGGACAATGATGATAGATTTGTTTCTAATGATGAACAACATGACGATGATGATGAAAATGATGACTATGCCGATGGCGACTATATGACCATGAGTTCATTGGACTTGCTAGGATACCATCCTCACAAGGAGATTATCCTCTTGGGCAGTCGAGAAGTTGGCAATGGTTGTGCGTTCGCTTAATATCTGGACACGATGAAGTGTGAGTATTTGGGAGATCTTTATCCAGTACGAGGTGAATGGATTGCTTTTTGGCCCAAAGTACGAGAGTCTTATGTGTACACACCATGTAGTATCGACCTTCTTCCTGAGCAGAACGGTACATCCACTGATTTGAGTTACTAGTTACAATAAGCTTAGGTAGGTAGGTAGGTTTGAATGCAAAAATAGTGTTGTATAGAGTTGTTGAACACAATGCATCAACACAGTGCTTAATTGGTTCATCTATTGTGAAGATGTGATGTAAATGCAATTCAACTACCATGGATACGTAAAAGTTGGTTGGTCTGTGTCGGCGTTGTTGCTCCAACTAATGCACTCCCCTTGGTTCGCTGTGTCATATTTGTTGCTCCGGACAAGCCCGCGAAGATTTTAATTGCAAACTCGACACAGTCGCATCGAATCTAGCCACAAAGTTCAATACCGAGCACATTAATTTAGAGATTTGGCGGATAGAACAATTATGTTCTAAAGGTAGCAAGGGGTGATAGTGGGTGGTTGCTGGAGGCTGCTGGTAGCGGAGTGTACATCTTGTATACCGAGTGCCAACGTTGTCGAGACTTGACGGTGAGGAAGCTTCGCGAGAAGATGCTGGAACAGCTTGACCTTCCGCTCATCCGCCTTTAGGCGCGTAGAACCATATGGCAATCCTTTCCTTTTTAATGTGGTAGTTCTTTTATATTTGCCCCTAGCTTATGGTGAGACTACTGAGGTGTCTGGCACAACTGAGGATTGAGGAAGAGCTGATTTAGGGGTAATCATGGGAGAAAAGCAAAGCATAATATTTGTTTTGAAAATGGTTTACTTCACTCTTAGTAACATAATAGATGACCCGTCACGTCGATGGCGCAAAAAGCCATTTAGAAGTGATTATGAAGTGCTTGTGATGGGAGCCAATTTCGGCCAATTTTATAAAGAAAAAAGAATGAACCGTTCTATTCCGTCGTTTTCTATATGTAGGGAATAAACGGGAGACACTAGTGTAAAAGCAACACTTAATGTGCAAAAATAGAAAAACCAATGGCATCCGTCGGATCTTAAATGGGATTCAGCTTGAGGGACATGGTGGAGGGATCAATTTATACAAAACTGTTAGTCAGGGGGGTTTTCAGAAAATAAACAGGAAGCTCTACCAACTCACGTGCTTTGAATCTGAGACATCCAATCAAGGTCCAACGAATGTCATTGAATTTGTCTATTTTTGCACACTAGGTGCTGCTTTTACACTAGTCTCTCCCGGAATAAACTACCTACAAATATTGCCAGTGATGGGAGCCTGCGCTTCTGCAACACAAGCATTTTATTGAAAATGTGTTCAGTCATATTTATGAAAAAAATCCAATTTCAAAAGTTCAAAAGGTATTTAAATTTTTTTCAACACATATTAAAAAATGTGCATGTTACTAAAAATATGTTGAAATATTTATAAAAATTCATGTATTCTTACGTATATTTGAAAAGTTCAACATGTATTTAAAAATTGTTCATGTCATTAAAACAATTCTCATGTATATATAAAAACAAAATTGTTCGTAATCGAAATATTATCTTGTATTTATGAACATTTATCACGTGTTAAAACATGTAAAAATATTTTGAATAGTACTTATCATGTATTTCAAAATGTTCAATGTTCAACGTGCATTAAAAATGTATAACATTAATGAAGAAAATCAGACGTGTATCTGAGAAATTTTCTAAGTTTATTAAAAATTGTGCATTGATTATTAGGAAAATAATCATGTATAAAACATTACGTTTATAAACAAACTTCACATAATTACCATTAATGTTTTTAAATTTATTTTAGGTAAATAGAATAAGAATATGAAAAGCAAAAAACATTAAAACATGAAAGAAAAAGGAAAGTGAAACGAAAAAGCAAAAGGAGAGCAGAAAATTGAAATGAATAAGAAATAAGAAATCCAGAAACATAAGATAGAAAATAAATTAAAAAGTGATGGAAAGTGAAAAAGGAAAAAACAGAAAAAGAAAAATTGGTATAATTAAAAAATTAAGCGAGAAAAAACATAAAGAAAAACTGTCCGCCCAAGAAAAATTGGTTATATTTTGGATGGTCTTAAAGGCATTAGTCCCTCTTTATGCCAATTTTTTTTATATGGGGCCCGATGCTAAACCTATTGTCGATCATCAACGTTACTTAAATGCTAACATGAAGTCTGTGGTAAGAATAAAAATATTAAAGCTACTGGAGGGAGGTATAATTTATCATATAGCTAATAGTAGATGAGTAAGTCCTATTCATTGTGCCCGAAAGAAAGGCAGTATTATTGTTGTTTCTAATGATAAAAATGAACTTATCCCATAAGGAGTTGTTACAGGTTATAGGATGATATTGATTTTAGGAAATTAAATAAGACTACTAGAAAAGATCATTTTCTTTTGCCTTTTATTGATCAAATGTTAGAAAGATTAAGCATACACACTTTTGTGGGCGTCCAGACTACTACCACGTACACGTCTGACACCCCAGACCCACCAAAACATTTTCCCTTTCCTGCATACTCTCTCACGTGAAGTCGTTGCCACACATTCATGTCGTTCAGCACCGCTTTCGAATGCCACCGCCACATTTATGCTAGCCTAGAGTGAACGCGACCTCTCACTGGAGCCGACATTGAAGTGGCGCACCGGCAGAGAGTGCCGCCTAGTCCATGTCCTGGTCTCCACGACTGTCCAATGTTGAAGAGACGTGACCGGACGGGACGGGCAGCTATCTACCACATTCAAACCGGCCCCCGTTCGTCTGCCTGCCGACACTAAACAGACATGGCGGCCGAAGAACCCATTCTGGCGCCTCCAATGCCACAACTCGCCACCTAGCCTAGCTGACACACGCCATTTAGATGTTGCCTCCTCGCCAAGCACCAACCACACTGCATCTGCACCGCACCACGTCCACCATAACCCCGAGCTATAGAGTGATGTGGGAGAGCCTCTCGACGGAACTGAAGTAGGAGTTGGTTGATAGTGCGGCTAACTGGCAGGCTCATCGCACATGATGGATAGCAGTTGGCTTGCTTCTAGCTCGCCGGAGGTCAACAATGACGACAAGTCGATGGAAGAGGTGGCCGGCTCCCATATAATCTGTATGCAGATGACGCTATGATTTTTGCCAACCCTGACAAAGAGTAGGTCAAGGCGCTCATGAGGATCCTAAAACTCTTTGGGGAGGCCATGGGGCTAACGATCAACCAGGAGAAATCTACGGTTTCCGCGATCTGATGCACTGATCTGAACCTGGCAGAAATCCTCCAGAGTTTCGGTGGCAAGCAGGTGGGCTTCCCCCTCACATATCTAGGGCTGCCAATAACCTTGGGGCGGTTAAGGATGGTGCAACTTCAATTTGTCCTGGATAGAATCAGAACCCGCCTCGCGGGATGGAAGGGCAAGCTCCTGACGCTGGCCGGCCGGCGCGTTCTGGTCAAGTCCGTCCTGTCGGCCATGCCCACCTTCGCAATCACCGTTCTACGAGCTCCAAAGAAGTTCTTCACTGAATTAGACAAGATCCATCATAAATTTCTGTGGGCGCATGAGAAGGAGATCACCGGCGGCACTTGCAAGGTGAATTGGCAACGCGTGTGCTCTCCGACTGATTCCGGGGGCCTAGGTCTCCACAACCTCAAAAAGTTCAGCAGAGCGCTCCGCCTACGCTGGCTCTGGCTTGCCTGGACAAGCCCGGAGCGACCATGGGTGGGCACGGACCCCCCTTGCGACGATGCTGACTGACGGCTCTTCGAGGATTGCACCAAGGTCTCGGTGCACGACGGGAAGCGGGCAATCTTCTGGCGCTCAAACTGGCTGCCTGGGGGGCCGCTCTACAGGCGTTTTCCCGCGCTATATCAACATGCAAGGAGAAAGAATCGGATGGTGGCCGAGGCCCTGACTGGTGACCGGTGGATTGCTGATCTTCAGCACGGCAACCGCGCTGACCTGGTGGTAGATTTCGTTGGCCTGTGGCGCGTCCTTGGATCGGCCGACATCGCGCTGGTGCAAGGGGTCTCGGACGTCATCAGATGGAAGGCATCCAACTCCGGCGCGTACACCACATCCTCAGCTTACCTGGCTCAATGCGACACCTCAAGAAGGCCGGGCTTCACCAAACTCTTCTGGAAGACGTGGGCGCCGGCGAAAACGAAGATGTTTTCCTGGCTGCTCCACCAGGATCGGCTATGGTGCAACGATAGGTTGCAACGACGAGGATGGCCCAACAACTACTTCTGCGGCCTGTGTGCAAGGCATCTGGAGTCCTTCCAGCATTTGTTCTGGGATGTCCCGTCTCCAGAGCGGTTTGGCTGGCTGCGGCTGCATGGCACGGCTGCGACGCGCTCCATCCGGGCACCTGGAGATCAAACATCAACACCACTACCTTGGTGAGAGAGATCATCGCAAAAACTCCGAGTGAGGTGCGGAGGGGGATTAAGTCCATGATTGTGCTGATCACTTGGGAGATCTGGCAGGAGCGAAATGAGGCAACATTCAGAGGCAAGTGCCTTTCGGCTCATTTCATCCTCGCTGCAGTCCGGCGTGCTCTGGATTAATGGAGAGTGGCGGGAGCGAAGCATCTCATGAGCCCCTTTGGGGACAGTCGGGAAATTATAGCCTAAGGATTTTTTCTTAGGCCCTCTGCTGGCTCCCTTAGCATAGCAAGGCTGTTTTATTTTTCTTTTTCATGGGCTCTACTCTAGCCACCCACCTGATCGCTTGATCATCATGTTTTCCCGCCTTCTTCCTTCTAAATCAATGAAACGCCAGCAGTGCTGGATCTTTCAAAAAAAAAAAAAATCTGTAGACGTGTCCAGACGCAGCCGTTGTAGGGATGTGTGTTTGAGAAACTACAAGTCCTTTTCGGAAATAAAAGAAGAAGAAACTACAAGTGCCCATCGACCGACATTGGTTGGTTTTTACAGAAATCTTACAAACCGAGAAGGTCTCTCCTTGGA